TGGATTCCAGCGGGGGCCCCCAATCGCCCTGCCGGTTGCCCCACAGATTGGACCTGATCGCGGGCCAGGTCTAGGGTCCCTACCCGTGCACAAATTTTGTGCACCGTACTTCTAGTATTAAAAATAAGATAAGATGGGGGAGGGGGAACAGAGGGAGCACATCTTCAAACCAAGAATATAATAAAATGAAACAGCATTGGATTTATATGTGCCAGGCATTGTGCTAAGCACCCTGTCACCTGCCTGACATCATTTCCCACTGTTCTCTTTCTTACACACTCCTCCCAGACACACTCGGCCTCCTGGCTCTTCCACCCAGCACCAGCCCACATTAGTCAGCTAATCTGTAAAACAATTTACCACCAAATGTAATGGTGGAAGAACAATAGCATTTATTATCTCACTACAGGCCCAGTGCACGAAAATTGTGCATGGGTAGGGCCCTAGGCCTGGCTGGCGATCAGGGCTGATTTGCAGGGCAACCAGCAGGGTGATCGGGACGGGGGGGGCACTTGCGCCTGCCTTGGCCAGCCTGGCACTGCCCACTCACCGGCCCTGCCCCCTGCCGCTGCTGCCAGTTGTTGCCTCCCTCTGTGGGGCAATTGGTGGGGTGATTGGAGGCCCCCCGCTGGCACCTTCTTGGCTGGCCTGGGGCCTGCAGGCTGGGGGGTTTTTTTGGTGGGGTGATTGGAGGCCCCCGCTGGCACCTTCTTGGCTGGCCTGGGGCCTGCAGGCTGGGGGCAGCTCCTGCATTGAGCGTCTGCCCCCTGGTGGTCAGTGCAGATCATAGCGACTGGTCATTTCTGTTTGGTCAATTTGCATATGAGGCTTTTATTATGTGGGATGGTTTCTGTAGGTCAGGAATTGAACACAGCTGCAGGCCTTCAGCTCAACTTGGAAATAATCCACCACTAAGCTCAGGAGGTGGCTGCTGGCAGGATTCATTTCCTTGCTGGATGTCAGCAGGGAACTCCCTGAGGTCCCGGCACGAGGGCATCTCTGAGGCCAGCGGGCCTTATCAAAGCAAGAAAGCAAGCAGAGCCAGAGAGAGGGGCACAGAGGGAAGTCACTGTCTTTCATAACCTAATGTCAGAAAGGACAGTCCATCACTTTCGCTGTATTTCATTCCTTAGGGAACATCACTACATCCGGCCCATGCTCAGGGCGGGGTTACTTCAGGGCGTGAACACCAGGAGGCCGGAGGGTTGGGAGCCATCTTAGAATGGCTGCCTCCTGCCTCCCCCTGGCCTTTGTAGTTGCTCCACCGTCTGTCTGGAAGCTTCTTTCCCAGATCTCTGCGTGGCTTCCTCCCTCGAAAGTCCTTGCCTCTCTGAGGCCTTTCCCGACCACCTTATTTGAATGGTAATATTCTCTGGGCAGGCTGAAAAATGGTCCCCAGAGATCTGCAGGCACTGATCCCTGGGCCCTGTGAATATCAGGCCGCAATACACAGGCACTGTGGTTTGGCAAAAGGGACTTTGCAGGTGTGATGAAGCTAAGAATCCTGAGATATCCAGGTGCTCCCTAACTGTACAGTGTGGCCCTGAAGCAAGGGGCTACACTGCAGCTTTGAAAATGGAGGAGGGGGCAGAGGCAAAGAAAAAGAATGTAGGTCTAGAAGCTGGAAAAGGCCAGGGAACTGACCTATTCTTCCCAGAGATCCAGAGGGCGCGGAGCCCTGCCAACACCTGGATGTCAGCCCAGTGAGACTGAGTTCAGATTCCTGACCTTCAGAAGTGAAAATAAAAATGAGTGGTTTTTTTTTTAATTATTGTTGATTTTTAGACAGGAAGGGAGAAGGAGAGCGAGGGACTGAGAGCCAAAGGTCAGCCACCTCCTGCACGCCCCCTACTGGGGATCGAGGCTGGCAACCTGGGCATGTGCCCTGACCGGGAATCCAACCCGTTACCACTCACTGCAAAGCTGAAAAATTTCTATGGCCTAGTGACATCACAGCCACCCTAACGTTGTAGCTCATGCATTACTCACGTGTTTGTGGTGATGCTGGTGTAAACACACCCCCTGTGCTGCCAGTCATATAAAAGTATAGCACAGTACATTGATAATGACAGTAAATGACTCTGGTACTGGTTTGTGTATTTATTATGCCACATTTTTTTTATTTTAGAGTGTATTCCTTCTACTTATAAAAAAAGGTTTGCTGTAATACAGTATGCTGTGTTACACCAACAGCAGCCTCATACATCTCCTTTACCTTGTCTCTCTTTTTAAAAAATATGTTTTTATTGATTTTGAGAGAGGAAGGGAGAGGGATAGAGAGATAGAAACATTGATGAGAGAGAAACACCATTCATCAATTAGCTGCCTCCTGCATGCCCTACCCTGGGAATCAAGTCTTCAAACTGGGCATGTGCCCTCACCAGGAGTTGAACCAGTGACCTCTTGATTCATGGGTCAACACTCAACCACTGAGCCACACCGGCCAGATGAGCATAATTGATAGCATAATTTTCTTTTGTGCTTGGTTTAATCTCATGTTGTTTTGTACAGTTACAAGCTGTAGAGGCTTGCAGCCTCGCTGCAGTAGGCTAGATCAAATAGCCTGGGCATGTAGTAGACTAGACCATCTCCGCCTGCAACCTTGGCATATGCCCTTGACTGGAATCGAACCCAGGACCTTTCAGTCCACAGGCCGACGCTCTATCCACTTAGCCAAACTAGCTAGGGCTAGCTTGATAATTTTTTTAATGTAAGATGATGGACAATGGGAGATGTTTTTTCATTAGTCTCTGCTTTTGTAGAATTTTGAAAATTTCCAGAAATTTTTAATATAAACAGTACACTAGTTCACTTCACATCTCAGTGCTTAAAAAAAAATAAACATCAAAAATACCAATAACTCTCTCTGAGCAAGTTTTTCTGATCTCTTTCACTCTCAATGCGTGTACAGAGAACCACTATCCAGAATTTATCGATTTTTATTCTCTTATTTAAGCTGGCTTTTACTATTAAAATAATCACCTCATTCCACATTCTTTGTGATTTTTAAAAACTCAATTAATTTAAACTAAAATAAAACCAAGGTACTCATTTCTGTTTATTAAGGACAATTTCAAGCAGACACCAAAGTTGAGAGAATAATATAAGAATGCTCCACATACACTAAGCTTCATCAGTTTTTAACACAGGGCCGATCTCATTTGTCTACATCCCAGCGACTTCCCCTCCCACTGTAACCAGCACCCAAGTTTGGCTGCCTGCCGCCACAAAAACCAGACTCGTGAGACAAATGCTGGTGAAAAAGGAAAGAGGTTTATTCAAGTGCCCGTCACCTGAGGGGATGGGGGACTCTTATCATAAAGCCCATCTCCCCATCTCAGTGCAGGCAGAGGTTTTTATAAGGAGGGAGAGGCAAAGAAGAACAAAGAAACCAAGGGGAGGCCATTGAAAATTCCCTCCGTACCATCCATTCCTGTAAGGAATCTCAAAACCAGTCAAGTGATGGTCTGGTATGTGTTATCCTGGTCTCTGTCATCCTGGTTTTATGTCATCCTTGTCCTATGGTTGAAGGTCAGCAAATTTCCCAGAGCTGGGATGACTAAAGGTCAGAGTCCGTATCTTCTAAAATTAATTCCTGAGATTCTTATACAAACATGCTGTTTTTCTACAAGCTACATATTAGTCATCATTTCCAGAAACAATGTCAAAAGAATGGTGGTGTGGGTTACAATCCCCATTGTTACACCACCGGTCAATTATTATTATTTTTAAATGTTTTTATTGAAGACAGAGAGAAGGGAGAGGGAGAAGAGGTTGGTGGTGATTATATTGCATAGCAAATACAATGACAATGATGTAGCTTTATGATTTGTCAAAAACTATTCAGAAGAGATAGAAGCTCATGCTTTGTCAAAAAATAATTTTTAATTTTTATTGATTTCAGACGGAGGAAGAGAGAGGGAGAGAAAGATCAATGATGAGAATTATTGACTGGCTGCCTTCTGCACGCCTGCCAATGGGGATGGGGCCTACAACCTGGGAATGTGCCCTGACTGGAAATTGAACCGTAACCTCTTGGTTCATAGGTCGAAATGCTCAACCACTGAGCCACGCCAGTTGGGCCAAAAAATCTTTAAGGAAAAAAAAAATCTTTAAGGAGCACTTTATGACATAAAGAAGTAGGCCAGGTCCTGGCCTGATAACTTAGTTAGAACGTCATCTGAAATGCAAAGGTTTCAGGTTCGATCCCTGGTCAGGGCACATACAAGAATCAACCAATGAATACGTAAATAAGTGAAACAACAAACCGATGCCTTCCCGCTTTCTCTTTCTCTAAAATCAATAACAAATTTAAAAAGTGAGGCAGAAGCAAAGGAAAAATCACTTCAAGGTCGTACTCTCAGCAAGGCCACACGGATTTCTGGTAGATGAAGCCTTGTTTGTTGGAAAGAGTCTCACAACTCATGTCCACACACAGGAAGAAAACAACCAGCAGGAGGTAGAACCAGCAGACACAACAAGTGACAGGAGTGATGGCCCCAAACACCAGATGACTGAATTACCAGGCGTACTACTGTACTATGCGTAACATGCTTCAAGATGTCCAAGAAATACAAGAATCAATGTGGCTCAGTGGATAGAGCGTCGGCCTGCGGACTCAGGGGTCCCAGGTTCGATTCCGGTCAAGGGCATGTACCTGGGTTGCGGGCACATCCCCAGTGGGGGGTGTGCAGGAGGCAGCTGATCGATGTTTCTCTCTCATCGATGTTTCTGGCTCTCTATCCCTCTCCCTTCTTCTCTGTAAAAAATCAATAAAATATATTAAAAAAAAAAAGATGTCCAAGAAGAATCTAAAACATGAAAAGAGATCAAGGCGCTACCCAAAATTAAAAGCAGAGGAATCTGACAGAGGGAGAATCAGATCTACATGAGGGACATCCCTTCGAAGGAGGTGAGTTTAAGGCTGCTTTGCCCACAACAGGAACAGTGAGAATCATTTACTAAGTCGGAATGGGAGCCAGAGAGAAGGAAGCCAACTGCTGTGCAAACTACCTTTATTTATAAAGAAGAACGTCCCCATTTTGTTATAAAACCAGCACTGTGTGAAGGCACTGGGTCGGTTGGAGAGTGTGGGGCGAGGGGTGGGGGGTGGGAGTGTGTGCAGAGATCCCGGTAGAGAGACCAGCGTGCCTCCCCTGGTCCCCCCCAGGGCGGCTGGGAGAAATGGGGGCAGAGGTGACTCCCAGGCAAAGCCACTGGAGGTGGCCCATCCCACTGGGATGATGGGTGGGCTTGCTTTGAGGGGCTGGGGGAGGGGCTGACAGGGGTGGGGGGCACTTTGGACAGAATCTGATTTGGCAAACGGTGGGGCGGGGGTGTCTCTCTTGCCCCACCTGACCTCCCACAGGTAAGGCAGGTTTCTAAACTGTAAGGCTGAGCTTCTCCTTCTCCCCTGGGCGGGCTTCCGGGAAAGCAGAGAGCTGGTGGCGAGGATCCTGCCCCTGCCGGGCTTGGGGTGCGGGGAGGGGCAGCGGTCATGGGTCGGGCGGTCTGGGGCCACGGCAAAATTGCTTCCTCCTGTCTCCCCTGAAGATGTCCTTCTCTCCGCTAGACCTTACTCCTCTGGGCCTTCACCCTGGGGAAGAGCTGAGGGAGGACAAGAGTTTCAGAGCTGGAAGGTTCCCACCCCGCCTCTCCCCACCCCGCGGCGGTCTGGCTGGGCCCACCTCCACCCGTCCCCAAATCCAAAGACTCTCCTCTCCTCTCTTAGACATAATGGGATCTCCCTGCTCTCCTTCAGGAACCTTGTAGAATCTCTCCCTCAACTCTACCATCATTTTATTAATGGATTCTTTCTCATCCTGCCCAACTCAGTGTAACAAAGGTTTCCTCATCTGTAATAGAACTCCTCAACGTTGCCCCCAGCATTACAATGTAATTAATTGTTCATCTCTTCCCTCGGCTAAAATACACTCCTTACCTCCCATTAGTATAATAGGGACGATAATAAAACTATCTGAGCACGAGCCAATCAAATAACCACGAGGCAGTTTTGGTGCACACCCCACGCAGTACCACCCGTGGGCGGCTGCTCCTTACCTCCCGTTACTAGAATGGACTTCCCTCTCCTTCCCAGGCCCAGGCGGACTTTTCTGCTCCCCGCCCCTCCCATATAATGGACTATCCCTCTGGCCCTTCCTTTTCCTGGGGGGTCACCCCTTCCCCCCAACAGCCATCTATAGGCCCCACACGTCTCCTCTGGGCTCACCCCGAAGTAGTTCCGGGGCACGTAGCCCTCCTGGCCGTGCAGCGTGGCCCACCACCAGTCCGTCTCCTCCGGCCCGTCCCTGCGCAGCACGGTGACCGACTCGCCCTCGCGGAAGGACAGCTCGTCCCCGAACTCGGCGCTGTAGTCCCAGAGGGCGTACACCATCCCGTTGTGCATCAGCCCCATGCTCTGCTCCACGTCTGACAGGCGAGAGGGCGGGGCTCGTGAGGGCCGGGAGCACCCAGGGACCCGAGGCACAGGCTCGCGGGGGACAGGGCCAGCCAGGCCTGGGGTTCGGGGCTGCCCCGGCTGGGGGTGAGCCACCTGAGCTGAGTCCGCTGCCAGGACTGGCGGTCTCGAAAGCTGGAGAACGTTGGGGTGCATCAAGCTGGGCCAACCCCCAAGACAGGGCCAGAGGTCTCCATGCCCTCTTGTACATCGAGTCCCCGTTCCCTCTGTTACATTCCCTCTTGTACATTAAGAGCTATAGTCGCCTGCACCCCCCGCCCCCACTTAAGTGGTTCACCCTACTCGGCCTTCCCCTCGTGGCCCCATCTCCCCTCTCCAGAGGGTGCAGCCCACTCTGCTCCGCCTCCCGAAGTGAAGTCTCCAAAAAGGTAATAACTTCCCTGGATGGCACAGCCCACCCACACCTTCCGCCCTGTCGTCCACCGCCATCCATCACCTCTTTAGTGCTTCAGCCCACGGTGCCCAATTTCCCCTCCCCGCCCGCCCGGTGCGCGGTCCAAGCTCCACCCTCACAGAACTCCCCATGTTCCGGTCGGTACGGCAGGACACTACCTGTAGCAAAGGTGGACTGGCCCACCCCCCTGCCCAGAGGCCACAGCCCTTCCTCTCTCTGGTGAACAGTCTGCTTCCCCACAGTGGCCAAATGCCAGTCTGGCCCGGCCACCCGTGAGGCCGCTGTCACAGCCCTCGGCTCTCACCCACTTTCTGCCAGAGCAGGCACAGCAGGCTCGCCTCGCCCCTCAGGCTCCTCTCCTAACCCCCCCGGCCCAGCCCCGGTCCCCCAGCCTGCCTTGCCCCATCTGTGCAGTTCCTCACCCTGCCCTGTGCCCTCCAGGTGCGCACTGCACAGCCCATGCACACCCCAAGGTACAGCCTGCCCAGTTCCTCCCTAACCTGGTTAGGCGATGTGCCCTGCCCCCGCTCCTGGAGGTATAGGGTACAGCCTCATATGGCTCTAAGTCAGCGGTTCTCAACCTGTGGGTCGCGACCCCTCTGGGGGTCGAATGACCCTTTCACAGGCGTCGCCTAAGACCATCGGAAAACACATATATAATCACATACTATTTTTGTGATTAATCACTATGCTTTCATTATGTTCAATTTGTAACAATGACATTGGGGGTCACCACAATATGAGGAACTGTATTAAAGGGTCGCGGCATTAGGAAGGTTGAGAATCACTGCGTGGAGGAGTCCCTGAGCCCCACAGCAGAAGCCATGGCCCGCTCACCTGCCAGCTGCGTGTGCTGCATCTCCCGCAGGTGGCACAGTCCACCTGCCCAGCGCAGGTGGTAGAGTTGGAAAGTCCAGCTCCCACCCCCCATCCTACCCCCCAGGTGAGAAAGCAAATGAACTGCCCAATTTCTACGACCACTTTTCTCCCCATTGGAGTCCAACTTGCAAAGCACAGCCCCCATGGTACCCCTCTCCCTCCAAGGAAGCACCCTCTGCCCTCCCACCCCG